CTTCTCATTTGGTTCCTCATCAGCTTGTGCTCCTAGTGGTACTTCGTTCTCCTCTAAATCGTATTCCCTTTGTGCATCCCATAGCCTGCCTCCACAGCCTTGCACTCTTTCTTTAAATGTAGACGATTTTGACCCTTCTGCTTGGGAATTTGGAGTTTTATTAAGTACCTTGTTCACTAATGTATCTTGTGATGGGATTTCCTGGCATGATGTATTGATCTTCACTATTCCTTCTCCTTTTTTATCCTTGAAACTTCTTTCTACCCATTGTGCAGTATCGTTTTTTGCTTTTGATGCCTCCTTTCCATTGACTAGACCATTAGTCGAACCAAACCCCGATGAGTTAAGATTAAAAGCTTGTGCTGCTGGATTTAACTTTCCCTCATTTTTGACCATATGTTTTGGTTTTTGCTTTGTAGATGCTTGGTTATGAAGTGCTGAACTGTTTGTTGTTGCATTAGCTGCCACCATTGCCAATTGATTAACAGGTTCTTCCTCTTCATCAATCCCTTGTAATATTGCAAACATGTTAGCTACTTGAACATGATCATTATCTTCATTGTCTACTGCCACCAATTCCTTACCAATGTTGCTTTGTGCTTCTGCTTGTCTATCTACAGTGCTTGTACCCTCCTTGTTCTTATTGTTTTCAAGCTGCTTAGCTGGTGACATCTCCATTCCATTATTATTGAGACAAGTATTTTGATTTACTATATTTCTAACTCTGTTGTCCTTCACTTCCTTCCATTTCTCTTTTGTTGTACCATTCACATTACCCACGACCTTTCCACTAGATAACATCATTATAGGCTGTGAGTTCCCTATGTCCTGTTTCTTAGCTGCATCTGCTTGGTTATCTTTCTCCTTCTCCACATATAGTTCAGGGTGTATCCTCCAGCATTCAAATTGATCATGCCCTTGAAGTTTACAATGTCTGCAATATTTAGGCAGCATGTCATATTGAATTCTCACCCATTCAGTTCTTGTTGTTCCTTTAGCTTCATTGAATATGTCCATCCTCACCTTTTTAGGCAAATCTGCAAGTAGATCAACTAGTACCTTCACCCTAGCACAACTAGGTCTAGTTTTATTAATTGTTGCCATGTCTAGATGTATAGGTTTACCTACTGCTGTAGATAGAGAAAATAGACATTCCTTCACAAAAAAGTTTGGCAATAGACCTGGGAATGAAATCCAATCCATTGCCTTGGGTGTTTCTTCATCTGCTCTAAACTTTGAGTCATAAATCAATGGCCTAAGCTGATATTGATAGCCATCCCTGTCCTTTATGTAATGAGTTTTTGATGAGAAATGCAGATAGTCCTGCCTTAACGTCATTCTAATCAAAATATGTCTATCCCTTAGAAATCCAATGTTACATTCACCTTTAATTCCGGATTGAATTGGTATTAACTTAGGCAGTTGTTGAATTTCTGGGCTGCCATAGGAACATTTACCAACTATTGCGTATTGTAATCCTTCGATGATATCTATCCTTTCTACTTCTGCTTCTCTGAACTGAATAACATGTTCTCCATTCAATATTATAGGTGGACGAATGGGAATTGGCTCAACTTCCTGTTGCTCCTGCATTGCAGCATTTAAAGTGCAAGGTTTCAGAAATTTGGAGTAATCCATCGGCTATTTGTTGTTATTTGTGTTCCCTGATGTTTGTGCAATGTTTGGAGGAGGTTGTGTAGGCAGCGCAGCCACCAAATATGGTTGGCCACCTGCCTGTGTGTCCATTACAGTTGTAATTCTTTATCACTTTAATTACATGACAAAGGTGCAGCAGCTTTGCAAGAAAACGATGCTACTGTAATTCGAATTAGCTTCACGTTACTTACTGCTTATGGCTGTGAATCCAATTTCACAATCCGAACTGTAAAAAATAGTAATTTCGATTTAAAATGAAGCTTAGAATTCAAACCAATCTTAGAAGAGAAGAGAACACTTTCACGTTATCAAAACAAGTTGTTGTGCTGAAAAGTAGCGCTAGAATTAGTTGAATAGCTGAAATTGAATGAAGAACACTGTCTGCTACAGTAACTCGTGAAAATAAAATTAAGATCTACAAAAATTGACTATAGATCTGAAGTTAAACCAATTGGGGGTTAAACTAAAATTCCAAAGGTTTTGACGTAAAAAGTCTCTGCCTTCTCTTTAGGAAGAGAAGGAATAGTAATTCTATCATCATTTTCCGGTCTTAACTCCGGCATCCGGTGGTGGAAATAACCAAACGTGGTCTCAAAAGTTACATAATTTCCTTACGAATAATACCCAATTGGTTTCAACTTCAGATCTATAGTCAATTTCTGTAGATCTTAATTTCATTCTCAAGAGTTGCTGTAGCAGACAGTGTTCTTCATTCAATTCTAGCAATCCAGCAAATTCCAGCGTTACTGTTGAGCACAATAGCCTGTTTTGTTAACGTGAAAGTGTTCTCTTCTCTTCTAAGATTGGATTAATTTATAAGCTTCATTTTGGATTCACAGCCAACGCAGTAAGTAAAGTGAATCAAATTACAGTAGCATTGTTTACTAGCACTTGTGTCATGTAAGTAAAGTGCTAAAGGATTACAACTGTAATGGACACACAGGCAGGTGGCCAGCCACAATTGGAGGTTGCGCTGCCTAAACAACCACCTCCAAACATTGGACAAACATCAAGGAACACAAATAACAACAAACAGCCGATGGATTACTCCAAATTTCTGAAACCTTGCACTTTAAATGCTGCAATGCAGGAGCAACAGGAAGTTGAGCCAATTCCTATTCGTCCACCTACAATACTGAATGGAGAACATGTTATTCAATTCACAGAAGCAGAAGTAGAAAGGATGGAGATCATCTAAGGATTACAATATGCAATAGTTGGTAAATGTTCTTATGAAAGCCCAGAAATTCAACAACTGCGTAAGTTAATACCAATTCAATGCGGAATTAAAGGTGAATGTAACATTGGTTTTCTAAGGGATAGACATATTTTAATTAGAATGATGCTAAGGCAGGATTATCTTCATTTCTCATCAAAAACTCATTACATAAGGGACAGGGATGGCTATCAATATCAGCTTAGACCGTTGATTTATGACTCAAAGTTTAGAGCAGATGAAGAAACACCCAAGGCAATGGCTTGGATTTTATTCCCAGGTCTACTGCCAACCTTTTTTGTTAAAGAATGTCTATTTTCTCTTGCTTCATCAGTAGGTAAACCTATGCATCTTGACATGGAAACAATCAATAAAACTAGACCTAGTTGTGCTAGGGTGAAGGTACTAGTGGATTTACTTGCAGATTTGCCTAAAAAAGTGAGGATGGACATAGTAAACGAAGCGAATGGAACAACAAGAACTGAATGGGTGAGAATTCAATATGACATGCTGCCTAAATATTGCAGACATTGTAAACTACAAGGGCATGATCAATTTGAATGATGGAGGATACACCCTGAACTATATGTGGAGAAAGATAATTACAACCAAGCAGATACAGCTAAGAAACAGGACATAGGGAACTCACACCCTATAAAGATGTTATCTAGTGGAAAGGTCGTGGGTAATGTTAATGTTACAGCAAAAGAGGAATGGAAGGAAGTGAAGGACAACAGAGTTAGAAATGTAGTAAATCAAAATACTAGTCTCACTAATAATGAAATGAAGATGACCCCAGCCAAGCAGTTTGAAAACAATAAGAACAAAGAGGGTACAAGCACTGTAGAGAGACAAGTAGAAGTACAAAGCAACAGTGTTAGGGAGTTGGTGGCATTAGACAAGGACGATAATGAAGATAATGATCATGTTCAAATAGCTAACAAGTTTGCAATATTACAAGGAATGGATGAAGAGGAAGAACCTGTTAATCAATTGGCAATGGTGGCAGCTAATGTAGCAACAAACAGTTCAGCACTTCATAACCAAGCAGCTACAAGGCAAAAATCAAAAAATATGATCAATAATTTGGGAAAGTTAAATCCAGCAGCACAAGCTTTTCAACTATACTCATCGAGGACTATTTCGACTAATGCTCTAGTCAATGAAATGGAGGCATCAAAATCAAAAAAATATACCGCACAATGGGTAGAAAGAAGCTTCAAGGATAAAACAGGAGAAGGAATAGTGAAGATCAATAAACCATGCCAGGAAATCCCATCAAAAGATACATTAGTGAACATGGTACTTAATAAAAATCCAAATTCTCAAGCAGAAGGGTCAAAATCATCTACATTTAAAGAAAAAGTGCAAGAATGTGGAGGCAGACTATGGGAGGCACAAAGGGAATACGATTCAGAGGAGAACGAAGTACCATTAGGAGCACAAGCTGATGAGGAACCCAATGAGAATGACAAAGAAGAAGATGAGCAAAGTGTAAATGGAGAGATTCATCCCAATGACGACAATACAACTGGAAGAGGCCCAGAGGTAAATGATCCTGGAGGAACAGAAGATGATCAACTTCAGAAATCACAAGAAGAACCACAAGGACACAACAAAAGAGAGAAGGAGAAACAACCAAAACAAAAAGAAGAAATAGTAAATATTACTATTACATTGGAGAAAAATCAGTTGCAGCTATTAAAAAGAGGAGAAGAGAAAGCCTTGGTCCCTAAAAAGAATGCATTTGGAGCTACATCAGGAGGGAAGGAAGACAATGAAGAAGGAGAAGAACCTGGTAAAACAGGATACGACATGGATCAAGAATCAACTACCCAACACCTTATGAATGCTGCAAGGAAAGGTGACTTATCACCTACACAAGTGGAAAAGGCAAAATCAGCAGCAAAAGGTAAGAAGAAGCAACAAAAAGATAATTTTGCAGCACCAAAATCTGGGATGCACACAAGGAGAACACTAACTAAATCCAACAATCAGTGATGAATGCTCTCATTTGGAATATAAGGTCAGTCAACACACAACATGCCTTTGAAAGGTTGACAAAAATGCATAGGCAAAATCACTATAACTTTGTAGGATTAATGGAGCCAAAGCAACAAGCAAAAAAATGGAAAGGTACAGAAACAAGATAGGACTTGCTCAGGCAATTTCAAATGTTTCCAACAAGATCTGGGCTTTTATAGATGCGGTATTTGAGGTAACTGTTATGTACAATATGGTGCAACAATTATCACTAAGATTGTTTCATACTGAATCGCATGTGGAGTTTGTCCTAACATTGATATACGCAAAATGTGATGCAATTGAGAGGATAGAATTGTGGGATTCATTATATGAAATGGCAAGGAATATGGATCAAGCATGGCTTGTAGGAGGTGATTTCAATGTAATATGGGACGAAGAAGAGAAGTTTGGTGGGTTACCTGTGTCATTGAATGAAATTGATGATTTTCGACACTGCATCAACACTTGCAATCTATTCGACCTTGGATTTAAAGGCAGCATATTTACATGGTGGAATGGGAGAGCAGAGGAAGACTGTATATTCAAAAGACTAGACAGATGTTTGGCCAATGTTGAGTTCCAACAAATATTTCCAGGAATAGAGGTGCAACATTTGTCAAAGACTGGCTCTGATCAAAGTCCAATGTATCTGAAGTGTGATATTGAGACTCCACCTATAAAAAACATTTTAAGTTCTTGAATTTTTGGGTGGAACATGCGACTTTTAAAGATGTGGTGAAAGAGAATTGGTATGCTGATTTCAGTGCAAATCCTTTTATTCTTTTTAATCACAAGTTAAAAAAAGTAAAGAAGGCCCTTTCATTGTGGAGTAAGGCTACATTTGGAGATATTTTCCAAAAGATAGCAAGTATGGAAGAGGTAGTGATGGTTCATGAAGCAGAATTTGAAGCAAACCCTACAGGGATGAACAGGGAAACATTAAAAAAGGTTCAGGCAGAATTGATCAAATGTCTGGCACTAGAGGAGAAATATTGGCAACAAAAGGCAGGCATGACTTGGTTCAAGGAAGGGGATAGGAATACTAAGTTCTTCCACGCACAACTGAGAGGTAGGAGGAAGAGACTTCAACTTAACAGAATTCAAAACAGTGGAGGAACCTGGATTGAAGAAGAACAAGAGATTGCAGAAGAGGCTATCAAATTCTACAAGGAACAATTCACAGAAGCAGCTAATAATGCATCATTTGATATCGTAGATCATGTTCCTAATCTGATTAACGATGAGCAGAATGCATAATTGATTAAGCAACCAACAAAAGAAGAGGTTAAAGTGGCAGTACTTGGTCTTAATGGTGATAGTGCTGGGGGCCAGATGGTATGACAGGAAAATTTTATCATTCTTGTTGGGACTTTATAGGGGATGACATGTACGACATGGTGAGGGATCTTTTCAATGGTCATGAGCTACCAAAGTGTGTAACACACACAAACCTAGTTCTTCTACCAAAGAAAAAAGAAGTTACCACATTTTCTGATCTAAGACCTATAAGCCTCAGTAATTTTTCTAATAAGGTTATTTCAAGGGTGGTACATAAAAGGCTAGTGAAATTTCTCCCAAGTCTGATATCGGAGGAACATGCAGGTTTTGTTAAGGGAAGGAATATAGTATAAAACATCCTTCTAACTCATGAGATAGTGACCGATATCAGACTTAGAACTAGGGCTGGACCTAATGTCATCCTGAAACTAGATATGACCAAAGATTATGATAGATTATCTTGGCTATTCCTAACCAAGGTTCTGAGAAAGATGGGATTCACAGAAAGGTTGATAGGGTTTGTCTTTGGATTTGTTTCAAATAATTTGTATTCTATTCTTATTAATGGTCAAGCTCATGGGTTCTTTAAGTCCTCAAGGGGAATAAAACAAGGTGATCCTGTTTCTCCAACTTTGTTTATACTGGCAGCAGAAGCATTATCTAGGGGTCTCAATGCATTACATACTAACCTGTATTTTTGTGGATTTGGGATGCCAAAGTGGAGTCCAAAGATCAATCATTTGGCGTATGCAGATGACATGATTATTTTCTCATCCTCAGATGAAACATCTCTGATGCTGATTATGCAAGTGCTGAAGGCATATGAAAATGCATCTGGGAAGCTTGTTAACAAGTCCAAATCAGTTGTGTACCTGCATCATTTAACAGACATGGACGTGGTCAGCAAGGTGGAAAGGATCACAGGCATTCATAGGAATGATTTCCCTATCATATATTTAGGTTGTCCAATATTTTATGCAAGGAGAAAGTTGGAATTTATAAGCCCCTAATTACTAAAGTAATGGACAAACTGCAATCATGGCAGGGCAAGTTATTATCAGTAGGGGGCAGGGCAGTTCTCATATCCCATGTATTGCAAAGCATGCCTATGCATTTACTATCAGCTGTAAACCCTCCAAAGTATGTGATAAATAGGTTGCACAAATTGTTTGCTCAGTTTTTCTGGAGCAGCGCTGTAGGAGGAACTAGTAGGCATTGGGCTTCATGGAATACCTTATGCATGCCAGTTGAGGAAGGAGGAATAGGTTTCAGGTCACTGCATGATGTAACAAAGGCATTATTCAGCAAGTTGTGGTGGAATTTCAGAACAAAACTGAGCATATGGAGCTCTTTCGTATGTCAGAAATACTGTAAAAAATTAAATCCTGTAATTGTTCCGTAGAAAAGGGGGTCTCACATCTGGAGAAAAATGTTGGAATGCAGGGATCTGATTGAACATCAAATCCTTTGGCAAGCAAAAATGGGATCCTCACTATTTTGGTATGAAAACTGGACAGGTCTTGGGGCACTATATTTTTTAGTACCTCAGGACTTTGGCATTGATGAAAATGTACAAAATGTACATGATGTTACCTTAGATGGTGAGTGGGATGTGGACAGGCTTTTTGAAGTGCTTCCAGAAGAGTTAGCAGTACACATTCTGGAGAAAATCAAACCACCTTCAACAATGAGGGTTCTTGATAGGCCTTTTTGGATGCTAGAAACAACAGGATATTTCAGAGTTAAGTCAGCATGGGAGTATACGAGAAGAAGAGACGAACCAAGAAAAGCTTATAGAATGATTTGGGTAAAGGGACTGCCTTTTAAAATAGTATTTTTCATGTGGAAAGTGTGGAAAGCAAAGTTACCTTTAGATGATTTCTTGAAAAGGGTAGGTTACTGCATGCCATCTAAATGTTGGTGTTGTGTACAGCCTGACGAGGAATCTCTTTAACACTTGTTTTTTAGTTCAGAAACTGCAAAGACAATTTGGAAGTATTTTCTATCGAGGGCAGGAATAGATGTGGAAGGACTTACAATGCACCAAGCAATCATAAAATGTTGGACTGCAAATGTTTGCTTAAGATTAAAACCAGTAATGCAAGCACTCCCCTCATGCGTAGTCTGGGAACTTTGGAAAAGAAGAAATAGTATGAAGTATGGGGAGGGGGTGTCAACTAGCAGGGTGATTTATCAAGTTTCATCAAATCTACAGGCATTGGTGAAAGTGAGAAATCCTGGGATGGACATGGTACCTCACAAATGGCAAGACCTATTAGCTAGGATGGAAAATTTCACTCCTAAACTTAAGGTTACAAAAGTCATGTGGGAATTTCCAAGTGAAGGATGGCTAAAAGTTAATACGGATGGTGCATCGAGGGGAAATCCAGGCAGGAGCTCAATAGGTTTTTGTATAAGAAATGATAAGGGTGACATAGTCAAGTCAGTAGGGAAAGAGATAGAGGAGACAACAAACACAGAAGCTGAAGCGAAGGCCATGGTAGAAGCACTAAGGTTCTGCAGACTTAAACAATACTCTCATGTATGGTTTCAAACTGACTCAATGGTATTAAAAAAGATAATGGATGGGATATGGAAACCACCATGGATCATATCTGAGCAGGTAGAGGAAATGATGCAACTAATGAATGGGGGCAATTACATAGTTACTCATATTCATAGGGAGGGTAACAAGTTGGCTGATCATTTGGCTAATTATGCCTTAGATCATGGTGAAATAGAATGTCAACACTTTTGGCATCTAGATAAAAAGGGAAGGAGGTTGGTTAATGAGGATAAGATGCAATGCCCAAGTCTAAGGGTGAAGGTGGACAGGAGATAAGAAGCAAAGAGAAAAGGAATAGCAGGAGGATTGTCAACTTCAACGACAAATATTTTCAAATCCTAAGATAGGAGGGTATCTTTAGCAAGCAGATACATCGTCGCTATTTTAAACAACAAAATCACTTCAGTAAAAGATGGGCAAGAGATATTATGCTCAGTAACAGATAATTTTATTGAAAGCTGCAAAAGCACGCTAGGGAATTGGCATAGAGGGATGCAAGAAATTTTTTAATGTAAGCACATGATTTTTTCTGAAAAACGTGAAGCATGTCTACTGGTCTGGGAAGGGAACAATAAACCAAAAGGGTCGAGGGTTGCAAACAACACATATAGAGCAGGTGGGACGTGAATTTGGGATTAAACTACAAAAATGGGAGGAAAATATGATCTCACATAGAAGGGCACGCTACAAGGTACAACATACTGGACATGGAAGTTTTGATACTTGAGCATACAATTCGAGAAATGGTACATCGAAACTGGAGATGCACGCATGGCATGCGCATGGGTTGGAAAGATGTCCAGCAAGAAAGCACAAGCATGGGGTTTTGGACATTGTTTAATGAACGATGCATCATGGGTGGACAATGAATTGTGCTGAAGATGCAAACATGGTTTGCACAAGTAGCGAGAAAGACATTAAGCATGTGCATGGGTTGGAGAGCTGTCCAGCAAGTAAGCACGCGCAAGGGGTTTTGTTTAAGCACGCTGCATCATGGGCGGACAATTGTTCCTCTCGATGCTGAAGATGCACCCATGGTAGGCGCAAGAAGCGAGAAGCAGGAAAGCATGCGCATTGGGTCTTGACAACAAAGAGCTAGGATATGTTCTATTGGGAATGCTTATGGCAGCATTCAAAACAGAAGCAGCTGGGGCGTACCTTTTGGTACGATAATTTAAATTACAAAAGCTGGAGTTGAAAGTTGGAAATAAGGCGCATACTGGACAAGGATTTGTAAATTGTTATTTTGGTCGTGCATATCACAGTGAAGAAATGTGGCCATCCCGAATGCAGCGTTAATGGGATATCGCAGATCAGAGGATGCCGGTTTGACAAACATCCGGTGGATCAGGAGGGTTGGCACATCATCAAGAAAGTTGGGCAAATTCAAGAATACAAATGCATAATTTTTATGATACGATATTTGTTAAAGTTCAAATTTTATTCCTTTCATTTGGTAGGATACAATGACTTTGTATTTTGATTTTTAAGTTTTAATATAAAAAATTAGCCCTAGGCATTTTCCTAGCGGTCTGCCCAAAAAAAAAACCAATTGGTTATTATTCGTAAGGAAATTATGTATCTTTTGACACCAAGTTTGGTTAGTTCCACCACCGGATGCCGGAGTTATGACCGGAAAATGATGACAGAATTACTATTCCTCTCTTCCTAGAGAGAAGTTTGGGCGGTAATGTAAGGATATCTGTTTTGGATCTCCTAATTTTTTCTTCTCCCGGTTGAAGTTTTCATTGTTCCATTGATTTTTTTTTTCTGAAATTTTCAAGTTCTTAAATACTTTCTGGTTCATATGGGATTGAATATAAATTGATTTGAGGTTTGAAATCTTGGTTTGGGGTTTTTTTTGTCGAGTTCTGTTGATTGTTGCACCTCATTTCTTGGCTTGAATCTGGTTATTCTTGGTTGTCTCTGCTGCTGACCCTGTTCTTGCTATTGCTTACTGCTGATCCTCTTACCCCTCTTTCATTTTGCATTCCAGGTACTAGTTCTTAAACTTGTAGAATTGATGCTCAAGTTGGAGTTGAAATAGAAATTGAAGTTGTTTCTAGCTTAACACTAAGTTTTGTTCATAGTTTAGCTCTTTTTGCTTACTTTTGATTCCTGTCTTTCCACCCCTGAATATGAAATTGAGATTCAGTACATTGTATGTTGGTTGGTAATTTGGATGAGGCCTCTCAAATGTAGTCATTTTGTGTTACTCACCTTTGCTTTAAGATTTGGATTTGAAACTGTTTGAATATGGCTGATTCAGGATGTTTTGGACTCTTAAATATGTATTCGATAAGTTTTATGTCTGTTATAATATGGATCTCGTATGCAAGTTGGGTTGAGGGTTCAATTCCATGGTTTCTGATTTTGAACTGGTGCATCTTTGCTTTCCTACAGCACAGCTTTA